ACAGAGGTCAGCCCAGTGGAAGAACCTCTAATATACAATGCGTTCCAAATCTCTACATTTTTTTAAAAATGCCCCTGAGGGAGCAATTCTAAACAAGGTCCTGAGAAGCAAGTCTCGTTTTATTCAGTGGGGCTCATGCCCAGGAAAGCGTTCTTCGAATTGCAGCCTTACCGATCTTACTGCTATCCAAGGGAGACTTGCACAAGTAGATGCAGCTTCAAGGCTATTGTAAGACCGGGGAGATGGATGAAAGGGTCTGGTGAACTGTTTCTCTCTCTCACAGCGCTTCTCTGGCTAAAGGCACACAGATTACAGGCAGAGCCGTCAGCGACTCTTCCCAACAAAATCATGCCTCTGGCTATACAGCCCTTCATCTAGCTCTGTTATCTCCCCCCCCACATCGCCCCCATTCCCATTATCAGAAACGGTCATGGGGGAAAAAGTGTACTCCCTTTGAAAGGGTTTTCAACCATTGTCCAAGGAATATCGCCTTTAGATCAAAGCACCAGTAACAATCGTATCAGCAGCTCAGTGATGGAGGCAAGATAGGCTGAGTCTAAAGATCCTGATTTGAAAAGAAATGGAGGGCAGTGCCATGCAGATCTCTCCAGGGGCTTTCATGTCAGTTTTTCTACAGGCCACAAATCTACTCAAAATGGGTTCCTCTGAACCACAACCACCTTCCATAGGTCCATTAAAAAATTGATTACAGGCTGCAGCCTTCATAGCCAAACTCCCACAACTCATGTCAGTTTTTAGCTCAGTTGCTGGCTGGAGCCGTGATCTGTAGGCATAACCTGTTATCAAAAACATTGGAGTGCTAAAACACTCCATATACAGATGAAATCTGGTTTCTTCCATCTTCATGAAGGGGGGGGGAGAAAGAAACAAGCAAGTTGGCCAAGCCCCCACTAGTAGCCAAAAGTATGAATGCTTCCTTTAAGCCCACAAGAACACTTTTAAAGCCAGAGGATCCAGAGCCACCTGACTAGATTCAGCTTCCCTAATGGATAAGAGGCTGTTGAAGTGGGGAGGTGCTATGGCTCAGGGGTAGAGCATCTGCTTGGCATGCAGAAGGTCACAGGTTCAATCTTTGGTGTGTCCAGTTAAAAATATCAGGTAGTGAAAATTTAGACTTTGGCCCAGTCTGCATCTAGCATTTGTTCTGTTGCTTTACCAAACCCACACTGGAACAGAAAAAGATGCGGCTCAAAACCACATTCAAATACCCTGGGGCCGATGCCTTACTGACTGCCAGGGCTTTTTTTGTAGAAAAAGCCCAGCAGGAACTCATTAGCATAATAGGCCACACCCAACAGCAGGAACTCATTAGCATATTATGCCACACCCCTGACAGCACAGCTCATTAGCACATTAGGCCGCACCCCCGTGTTACCAGAAGTGTGGTCATCCAGCCACACCCACCTTTTGCTTTTTATTCTCTTGACCTTGTTTGTTGTCAAAACCCAGGGCTTTTTGCATGTTAGGCCAAACCCCCCTAATTGTAGCCAATCCAAATGAGTTTCTGCTGTTGGGTATGGCCTATTATGCTAATGAGTTCCTGCTGGGCGTGGCCAACTTGGGAGCCAGCCGGAACTCCGTTCCTGTGCGTTCCTGCCCAAAAAATAGCCCTGCTGACTGCAGAGTCACCCCTGAATGGCCATAAAACGGCCATAAATCGACGCAGACAGTTCCATAAGACCCGAAATATCAAACGAAGTGAAAGCGGCATGCAGTCTGGACGATGCTATAAAATCCGACAATCAAAGTGAAAGCGGCATGCGATGCAGAGGAGGATTTCTGTCCCAGCATGGGTTTGGTAAAACAGCGGAGCAAATGCTTGATGCAGATTGGGCCTCAGACTCTGGGAGAGCTGCTGCTAGTTTGAGCAGGCAATACCGATCTTTCTAAAAATACGTGTGTGTTTGTGTGCACGCGCATGTGTGTGTGCGTGCACCTGGAAGTCATGGCAAACTCTGGTGACTGACCTGTACTGGGGCACTGGAGGATATTTAGAGAGGTGGCTGAATAAACCCTGCCCCTGTCTTCCCGACTGTACCATCCAAGTAAAAAGGTAAAGGTAAAGGTTCGAAAGCCAGTCAAGTCCGACTCTAGGGTTGCGGTGCTCATCTCCGTTTCAAAGCCGAAGAGCCAGCGCTGTCCGAAGACGTTTCCGTGGTCACGTGGCCGGCATGACTACACACCAGGGCGCACGGAACGCTGTTCCCTTCCCACCGAAGTGGTACCTACTTGCCTGCTTAACGTCCGAGATCTGACAAGATTGGGCTCACCTGGGGTATCCAGGTCAGGGCGACACAATACTGATCTTGACGGACCAAGGGTCTGGTTTGGTAGCTTCATGTATATTCAAGTGGCTGAGTAACACATCCGATACCAGAACCAATAGGTACCTGGTGTTTTTTTTTACTCCAGGCTCACAGAGGCATCGTACAGATAGCCACACAGGTCAGGAAAGGAGTTGCGTTGTCAGTAAGACCATCCAGCATCTCCTCTATTTCTCCACTGTGCT